GCGCAGGTTAAGGGTGCTAATGTCGTGGCCGTCCAGAAACACTGATCCGCGGACGGGGTCGTAGAACCGCTCGACGAGACCGACAATGGTACTCTTGCCGGAGCCCGAGGCGCCGACTAGAGCCGTGGTCTTACCCGCAGGAATGGTCAAGCTCACGTCGTCCATGACCGTGACCTCTGGGCGAGACGGGTAGATGTGCTTAATGTTCTCGAGGCGGATTGTGCCTTCGACCTGCTCGAGCTTGGTTCCGTCGTCGCGGGAAGGGTCCAGGGGAGAGACGCGGTCAATGGTGTTGTAGATCTTGGCGGCCGCCGCAATGGCAGTGGTGAAGGCCTGGACGTTGGGGGCGACGTTTCCGAGGTTAAAGGCACCAATCATGATGGACATCATGATGATGAGAATGTTGGACAGCTTGATGCCGTCGTCGATGAGGAACTTGCTTCCCTGCCAGAACGCGAGACCGTAGTTGAGGTACAGAATGGTCATCATCAGCGCGACCATGACGCCAATGGCGGACTTGACCTTGTAGCCAAAGAACTCGGCCTTTGTGAGGTGCGCATCGTACTGTTTGGCGAGGCGGTCCTGGGTGCCAAAGGCGACGGCGTTGCGGATGGAGCTAATGACCTCGTCGGCCAGACTGCCTCCGTGGGCGTACGACTCGATGGACTGCTTGCTGTACTTGACGATAAAGGTCGAGCCGCCTCCCATGCTCAGGAGAAGGGCGACAACAGTAGACAAGAGGATCAGGGTGAGCTTCCAGTAGTGGACGAAACCAATGACAAAGGCCGAGATGAAGGTGGCGATGGCGGCAAGCGTAAGGCCGACCTTTTCCGAGATACCGTCCTGGATCAGGTTGGTGTCGGCGGTGATTCGGGTCGTCACCTCGCCGGCGCCCAATTTGTCGAAGAAACCAATGTTCTGGCGCATGCAGCTCTGGAGGTAGTGCTCGCGAATCTTTGCGCTAATGTGCTCTCCCGTGTCTAATTTTGGTCTTGCGTCAGATTTAGACTCACATCCTCCCGCCGGGGCGCAAACTTACAGATGAATCCGACCGTGGTGATGTACTGGCACACAAAAACACCAATGGCGAGGTAGACAAAGTACAAGACAAGGCTCGCCATCTCGCTGTTAAAATCGTCCTTGGACGTCGTGCCGGCAAAGTAGTTCTGGAAAGTGCCCTGCAGGTTACCAAAGATGACCGTCATGAGCGGCAGTGCGGCGCCGACCACGATGGAGGTGAAGGCGGAGAGGGAGAGGATGAGCAGGTCGTTGGTCGAAGAATACCGGTACAGGGTCATGATGCCGGCCTTGACTTCGGGAGTGAAGACCTGACGCTTGAGAATCGCGGCCTCATTGGCGGGCAGGTGCTCGTAGGGGTCATCGCTGGGGTCTTTTGGTGCGATAGCCTTGGAGTCGGCCTTTTCGAGATTGCTGGTGATGTTGGCCGTCTGGTTCTTAGGCTGGATTGATGCATCCACTTCGGTCGAGTCGCCATGGGACGATGCCCTGTCAGAGTGGCCGTTGCTGGCTGTCTTCTCAGCCACCTCTGTTGACTTTTCGCTTGCCCCGACGGGCTTCTCGTTTTCGAGAGACATGCTGGCGCCGTGGCTCCTGACAGAGCTGTGCGCAGTGTGTGGAGAAAGCTTGTTGCGCCGGTATGCGCTGTGCGCAAGCTGTTTGGGATGCGATTGTCGGGTTCCTATACGTGAAGTGTCGTCGCTCGTGTGGCTTGTATATTACGGCTTGGGTGGGTTGGTCCGACGACGAGATCCGAATCGTTCTCCCCTCGAATTACAATCAATCCTATGATATATAGACAGACCAGTGAATGGAAGGGCGGAGAAAATCGACCACGGCGAAAGCCAAGAAAGAATTCGCGGCGATCGGAGTCGGGATCGTCGTTGTCGCGCGCAGACAGGCGAAAGAGCGGGAAAACAACACCTGCCGTCGATTTGACGTGCCTCCCTCGACAATTAATAAAACAAGACGAGGACGGATGGAGAAAAGAGGCGTGTTCCCACTCGGGTTGCAGGCCAGGATAGGGATTAGTGGAATTGTCGCAAAGGCGTGGACTGGAGAATAAAAAAAAAAAGTACCCAGGACCTTGGCGAGGGACGGACTGGGGTGTGCACATTTGATATAGATGGACGGCGGGCCTAGTGGTAGGACGTGACCGGGGTGGCACGCCGCAGGAGAGAAGGAGAAGGAGACGACTACTAGCACAAGGAAGAAATGGGGGCAACCGGCTTGGACGAGATTCGACGGAATGCAGCCGACCCGTTCTGACCTCGCTCTTGTCAACTTCCCGACCTGTGACTAGCTCGGTTCCTTGCGTACCTCTACCATGCCCGAACCGCGCCGCCTACATGCGTGTTTATCGTCCATCTCATGTTGACTCACTGGCCCGCCGCTCATCATCAGACGAGAGACAGGAACGGGGAGGGACTTTGGTACGGATGGCTACGAGGAGGAGCACTTGTTTTGTGCGATCCCTTCCCTCTTGGGCACGCCGATATCAATGCCGGTGACAGTCATCCGGGAACGATGATGCCCGACTATCTTACTGTGGTAGATTCTATAGGGCTTTCTGTTAGTTGGTGTGGACAAGGTACTCGTACTGGTATACGCAGTACTCACATTGGCCTATTCGGTCTTGCTAGCTGGGTTCGCAGGGCATCGAGTGCGAAGTGCGAGCTGTGGGACCGATGAGCAGCAGTCGCAGCACGTTGCAACGCACTGATGATTGCAGCCAAGGTTGTGATACCGCAGCTTGCGCAGTAAACCAACGCTGCACGTCGGGCCTGCCCCGGGGTTCAAGAGCCAAGAGGGACCGGAATTCACTGGTTGGCGCACACAGCTCTACCTCAGGTACAGATACGCAGTACTTCATTGTTCAGCAAACTCCACAATGCTAAGAGTTGGACACGTTGTCGGCAGGCTTCAGCTCTCTCCTTCCCCTTCTCCGCTCCTTCTTTCCTGTCTTGGTATACTTTTGCCCAGGCTGCCTTCCGCGAGATATTCTGGGGAAAGAGGCTTGGAGACGGGAGGCAAGTACAAAAGTTCAAAGTACATGCATGCGCCTTAGTCATTCGCAGAAACAGGCAAGCACTGCGTCCTCTTGTGAATCGACGCTACCGTTTTGTGGACCTCCTCCTCACCTTCCAAAGTTCCTTTCTTCAGACTCGAATGATTACGATTATCCTTCGTATCTCGCCTCATCCACGTCCCCGATACGCCTCGAGATATACGTGTAATGGACAAAAGTCAAAACTCAGCTTCCACCGGGCCCCAACACTTCCAATCAGCAACCGATCCTGTTTCGTCCGTATCCTCGACCGTGTCAACAAACAATCCCAGCACGCCGGTCCAGCAATCGAGGAAGAACACAGTCTCGGAGAAGCCGTGCATTGGGCTTCCGACCTGCACGTCATGTTCGGATCATCCACCGGCCAAAAACAATAGGGAGCCAGGCAGCTGCTGTCGAGGTAAGCACTGGCAAGCAGGTACATGCGACAGTGTACTTCGTACTCGTCCTAACCCGTTCTGTCTCACCGTAGTCCAAGTCAGGCCCGTGTCTCGCTGCCGCCCCCGGTCGAGTCAGCCGGCGTGGTAATACCCAGCCCAGCGCCTCGCTTAGCGACCTACGCCGCTACGCTTCCCCCCGCCAGCAATACTATTCTGCGGCTTTGCCCCTCCCTCGGGTTTCTTCAGCAGTCCGAATTCCGATCCATTTCATTTCCTATCCACGGTTCCTTGACCAGCTTCCAGAAAATTACGACGTACCCATCCCTTGCGGCTGCTCTTTCAGCTTGGAGGGGTGTCGCTACGTGTTACAGCGAGTATACCCCGCCATAAGCACACACGCACCCAACGAATAATCTACCGATACGGAGTACACTACGGAGTATCCATCCTTTGATGACAATGGCAATCCCTCTCATCTTTCGCCCGTCTAACGGTGACGAGGGCATGGCGGGCCGGGTCCCTATCCCACCTATGTCCGGACCAGTCCTGAGGCGCCGGCGATAACGTTCCCTCGGGCCCCGATCCTGTGGGTCTGCGGAGGGGAGTGCGAGCGATTCAATAGGGGGCCCAGCGGATAAACCGTAAACGGTCCTTGGCCCTGGGTCGGCTATCCGCGCCGAGCTCTCTCGTTCCGGCGGCTGGACGATTACGACGCTTCGTTACTCTGTCATGGGTGCCGATGTCGTTGAAAACGAGATACGAAATGCAAGTGCTTACAATCTAAAGGTACAGAGTTTGAACTGCGATTCGTGATGGCTGCCAGGATTGTGCTTCGGCCAATGGGTCGTCTTCCAGTGTTGTGGACGGGACGATCTGGACTCGGCCCAAAGTTCCCTGATTCTCAGGAGCGGTGTACTGCCGCGGTCACCTATGGAACAGGCCGTCTCAAACACCTGTTGGTTTAGACGAGCTGCTGGACTTCAGACTTTGAAGGGTCCCCGCAGCCCTCTCACGCGCACCCCAACAGGGGTGAGCCTTGGACAGAACGCAGATGCTGTCATTGATCGAGGTCTCAGGCCAGCACAAAGGCACGCGTAACGTTTGAATACGCGGGCTCGGATATGATCGATTAGAGATGGCAATTGATTACTAGGCAAACTACCTGGACGTCTGACAGTGCCAGTCGGATCGCGGAGTGCATTGTCGCCGCCGTAGCTAATGTACTAGTGAAGAGGGCCTCACGCTAAACTGAATCGCGGGCGTAACACAGCTACTCTTGTCCCGTACGGCGGGTATTTTTGCGCCGTTCCCCGATCGACCAGCTAGGCCGTATATGCTCGCATTCTCTTAGCAGATGCGAGCCGTCGCTTGTTTCAACAACCCACTATCCCACGGCGGTCAGCAATCGTCGGTCTCCCGGGACGCCACAAGACACCGCCAAATTCTCCGGGCCCTACCCTGACCGGATGGCTGCCAAAGACGTACCGCAACCCCGGGACGGGTCAAACGTGGAGTGACAGTGACACGTGTGCCATCTACATCTTGAGGCGCGTGGAAGCCTGGTGCAACACGGCCAGTTGAGCCTCAAGCACCGCTATGACGAATTCCTCCGGTTTGCCTTGGCCGGCGCCGTCGATCATCCGCAGGTAGTCTTCCCGCTTCAAGTCCCGGGTGACGACGGGACTGTAGCCCTGACGCGCCAGGTAATCCTGCTTAACCATGCGACTGGTACGCCCGTTGCCATCGGGAAACGGATGAACGAGAATATAGTAAGCCGTCATCTGACAAGCCAGAATCAGCGGGTGCAGCGCCTTCTCTCGATGCTGCAGGTTCCGCCATTGGAAGAACCTCTCCATGCAAGCCGGGACCTCTTGCGGGTACGGAAAGATTCGAAGACGATTGCTGCGTACGCTGATGGGTAGATCACGGTACTCTCCCAGCGGGACTTTCGATCCCCATACCAAGTTGCCGCCAGCCTTTTTCGAGTCTGTTCTCCAGGTGTCATAGGCCGACTCGGAGTCTGTATTGACGACGGACACCACGGCGAGGACTCGTACTTCAACTTCGCACAGTCCTGCTATACCAACCTTGGCCGCCGCGTTCTCTGCGACCCATTGCGATGCGATGATGTGGTTCTGCAGCTCATGCGTGGCTGACTCGATGACGCCTGCGCCTCTTGGAGCAGTCCACGCCGTCACAAGTCTGGCAAGCTCGCTGCTGGGCGTGGAGGCAAGGCAAACTTGTTCAAGACCACCACGCAGGCTTTCGAAATTGCGGATCGAGTCTTTCACTGAAAGAGGGTTGTTTTCAATCATTACGGACTGCTGGGCGCACTCGGCAACCAGGGTTTTCCCTAGGGCCCGTCACTGGCAGTCTGCCTCTGAGGTGATCGATTTCACTCAGCAGGCCTGTCAGTTTCCGCTGCACATCGACGTACCCCATCTTGAGGCTGTTGCCGGGCATAAAGTAATCTTCCCATACCCGTCCGGAGCGCGCCAGCCTTTCGTACTCGACAGAGCCTTTCTGCAAGTGGGCGGCTGGTTTGAAAATCTTCTTGAGCAGGGCAAGACGCGCCTGCTGCGTGCTGGACAGAATCCGATTAGACATTATGAGGTACTCAGTATGTTCAGCAGCTTTGCAATGCGTGGATTTTTGTACTATGTAAGTTGGCGGTGCTGATCAAGGGTGGTCCTGGTAGGTTGCATGGTGATTCATCCGGTGTGCATGTGTCTTCACAGGTCAACCTTTTCCCAAGCAATGGACGCAGAGGTGAACCTGCCTGAACATACGAACCTTGTGGCATCCGAAGCGCGCAAGGTGTTGGCGTTTGACACGGGAAACCATGGGTCAGCGCTCGCAGCTCCAGAGTCTCTTGCCGATGGATCGCCGTCGTCGGTGCCGAGTTGGCGAGATCCAGGCGCCGCTCGAAGTCTATCGCACACGACTGAAGACTTTTGTTTCTACTGTAGTCGGAGCTATCTCTTGTCGGGAGTATGTGTGTTCCGCACCCACACGTTAGGTATCCCGCACCTATACTAGGCTCGATTTAGTAGAAACTAGGCTAGCATAGCCCTAATATTTATTTTACTAGTAATACTATTATAAAAATTACTACGTTAATAATTATAAGTTTATAATAGCTTAATATATAATTATTTATTAAATTAACTATTGTAATATTAAAATTATTACTCTTACTTACTCGGGCTCGGGCTTAGTTAATTTAGCTAGCTATCTTCTTACTATTTATTATATTATTAGCCTAATTACGGCTATAGTTATAATAGAAGTATTAATGAGCTTATAAAGTAATAATATTATTACTAATTTAATAAAAAAAGTACGCTATAAAAGTAATAAGATTACTAAATATAGTACTATAGTAGTAATTAAGAGTACTATAGTCTCCCTATTTTAGTAATTAACTTACTAAGCTATATATTAAATTAGGTATTAATAGTAAATATAATAGTATTTCGTAATATACTAACTAATTACTTATTAATAACTTTAGTAATAATTTTTTACTTTTTTCTTAGCTTCGTAAGTACTAATATAAGGGTAGGGGTAGTACTTTGCTACGATAATATAAGAGATTAGGCTATAAGTACTTAACTAGCGAGGCTATAATATAAGTATAGGTATATTATAAAACTAAAGCTTATAAAGTCCTTTATAAGGGCTTTGCTTTTTAAAAAGTTCTTTTATAATACGAACCGTATATTAGTTACTAAGTTATCGGCGTTTTATTACTGGCTATATTCTAAATCTATTATAATTACTCCTCCTTTACGTAACTTTAGTCCTTAAAATTATTACGTAATATTTTTTTTTAATATTAATAATAAAGCTATTAACGTCGTTATTTATAATAGATTCCGTAAAGCGTTAATAATATCCTTTTTTACTTAGGAATAAAGTATTGCTCTTATTTCCTTATTTAACGGATACTTTATTATTATTATTTAGTAATAGCGCGCTAACTAGTTATTAAGTTAGTAGTATATATTCGTAGTAAAGTATTCTAACCGTTGTAATATATAAGAGCCCGCCTAGCCTCGCGGTTATTATTATTACTAGGTTATTAAATATAGTAAAGGATTTTTTTTTTATTACTAGTCGCGTATTTATTTTTTTTTTCCTCTTTCTATTTAGCAACCGTTTTATAAATTCTTTTTTATATAACTATACTTTTTTTTTTATAATATTCTAATTCCGTATCGTTTCTTAATTACGACTCCCTCGCTATACTATTACTAAGTATCTACCGAAATATTTACTATTTTGCGTATTTAAAATATACTTAATATAGAGTATAATCTTAAAAAGGGCTTCTATAGTCTCTGCGGTAGTACTCCTTATATACGCTACTTAGCTAATATATATTATAATATTAACGAGCTCGTTTATATTACCGGTACTTATGTTACTAAGTATATTATTTATTAAATTAATAAAAAAAAGTGTTCTACTATAAGTTATCGAGTCCTTACTAATCCGTTACCGAAATATTAGTTAACGATGTTTTTTAGGTTCCCAAGGAGCTATATAGCGCTACCTAGTTTATTTAAAATACCCTTATAGAGTTTTATAATACTAAGGAGTAGGGTAGTTTTAATTCTCGTAAGCGCGGCCGCGTTTTTTACGTTTTTAACTATATTATTAATACGTAGGAAAAGGTTACTACTTATATTACTAACTTATTAACGGGTAGTAAGGTAAAAAAGGTTTATTTTAAATAGGCTACTCTTTAAAAGCTCGTTACTAACTATAAATATTTAAACTTATTAATCTCGATTATAGTAAGTCGTTAGTAACCGTTTAGCGAATTTTCTTTTTACTAACTTAGATTTTTTTTTTTAAATTAGTATCCTTAATATTAATAATAAGACTAAGATTGTTTTTTACTTTAATTATTTCTAGCCGGCTTATTTTCATAATAATAGCCGTATAACTATTTTATAAAATAACCTCGACGTTCTAGCTTAGTACTATAAAGAGATTTCTAAGGGCGTTACTATTATATATATCTAGGAGTTTCTTATTTTCCTTATTTTTTATAAACGCGTTACTAAATTCTTAGTAAATAAAGTGCCTATTTATATTATTATTATATATAGCGCTACCCCTATTTTCTATAGTCCTAAGACTCGGACTCTTATTAAAAAGCGTACTTTTATTATTAACTATATTTTTAGTAATAATAACGAGTAGGACGATTTCGGGTTTAAGTTTAATAAGCTTTAGTACGAGGATACTAAATTTAAAGAGCTTAGTAATAACTTAGAAAATTCTTTTTTTTAGCGTTATAATAAGCGCTACTATTTTAATATTAATAACTTATTAACGCTTACCTATAATACTTTTTTTAATATAAACGAGGGTACCCTAGCCCTTAGTTATATTATTTTAGATCTTAATAAAGTTAATATTATGCTCCTCTTACTCTAAGTAAAGGCTCTATAATAGCTTAACGAGGCTATTACTTATACTAAAGTTAAAACTACGGGTCGTAATAAGTAATTTAACGTTAATATATTCTTTATAAATATTAATATTACTAAGGCCCCTTAGCTCGATTAGGACTATAAGAGTATTACCTCGGATAACGTCCCCCTTCCCCGACCCGTTATTAATAATAATAGTATTACGCCCCTTACTTTACCTCTTACTCCCGTTATACCTCTTATTATAGCTCCCGTTATACTTCTTATTATAGCTCCTATTATACCTCTTATTATAGCTCCCGTTATGCTTTTTATTATAGCCTCTAATAATAACTAAGTAGCGAACGCTTTATAAACCGCTATTATTAATATATATAATACTTTATATAACTTTAACTACCTCTCTTTTACTTATTATAATATGAATAAAGTTAACGGCCTTATTTTAAATAGTTAGCTAAGTACGTATATAAAGCCTCCTTACTTTTTATTTACTAAGCGGACTATTATTACTAATTATTAAGTTTTAGAAATATATACTAGAGCTGCTATTATTATTATTAGTATTATATAGGTTACTCCCCTTATATAACTAGATCTTATTAATCTCTTAGTAACGTATTACTAAGGGTTATAATATTATATCTTTTTTTAAAAAATTACGCTAGGCTAGATAAAAAGGGTTTTATAGAGTATTATTAATTAACTTATTTTTAGTAACCTTTTACTACAAACTTAACGTTTATTATCCTATTTTATATATACCCTTTTTTTATAACGTTCGAATTTTTTAACTACTTTTACTACCCTTTTAAAATACTTAATAAGTTCTTACGTATTATACTTAGTAAGCTACTTAGCCTATTTAACAAAATATTATAAATTTCCTCTCTCGTTTTATATTACGACGATTTTTTTAACTTCTTAAATATCTTACTTATCCTCTAACTCCGAGAGATTTACTATTTAGTTACTAACCGTTCGGTAATTTCCTTATAACTTAAGCTAAGAAACTAAGAAAATATTATATATTCTCTAATACTACTCCGGTAGATATATTTAGTAAGCTTATTTTCTTACCCTTTTAGCTATTACTATTTTAATATATCTCGGCACTAGTTTATTATTTTTAAATCGTATATTCTTTATTAATAAGCTAACGACCTCTCTATAATTAAACTCCTTTAGGGTATATTTTTTATTATAATAAGCTACTTAGCTCTTAGAAGTTTATACTTATACTCGCATAACTTAGGCCCTAATCTCTCTAATTTTTTAGACCCTTTTTTAAACCCCCTAGACTATAGCTTTATAATTAAGTATATATTTAACGTACTTAGAGTAATAGCTATATAATACTATATACGGGGATACTTTTATAATAAAGTATTAGTTATTATTATATATAAACTCGGCCTCTTTTAACTACGCTACCTATTTATTTAGTAAGCCCTTGGTATAGATCTTTAAATACTTTTCTAATATTTAATAGGTCCGCTCTATTTAGCTATCCGTTTATAAGTAATATATAGTAAATAGTTAGTAACGTATTACCCGTTCTTTAGTAAACTTTTTTTAAAATATACTTATAAAGAGTTTATTTTTATTTATAATAATACCTTTTAATATACCGAACTTATATTTAACTTTTTAGTATAGGATACTTACTATTTATACTACGTTAAGTATTTTAATAGTAGGTAGGAACTTTACGAACTTTATTATATAATAAATAATAATTAAGATATTATTATACTCTACGCTATTATTACGAGCGCTCGGTAATAGTTTCGTAATAAAGTTTATAAATATTTTTTAAAATAGATATAAAGGTAGTAATAGTAATTATAACTACCTATACAGCTTATATTTTAGGGTTATAACTCCTAAATAATACTTATAGTTCTTAACGTATTTTTAAATATTTTATTAAATATCTTTTTAATAAAACTTCTTTTAGATTAGCTTAAGAGTTTTCGTAGCTCCTATATAACCTACCCTATAGTTATCGTAATATTAGTAAAAAATCTCTATCTAAAAAGACTCTATTTAAAAAATAACGAGTTTTTTTTTAAAAAATAGTATACTTTATTTATTAAGCGAATATGCTTTTAGCTTACTAACTATAATACGAACTCTTACTAATTATAATATATAGAACTCGTTTTTAGCTTATAATCCTCTAACGAGCTCCTTAATCTTTAATAAGAGACGAGAAGCGAATACCGTTTTACTTCTTATAAGCTTTTTTATAATAGGACGTAGGATATACTATTTTAATATAATAACCTTAGCTCTATCTAACTCTTTTTTATTTTTATAGGACCGTTAATAAGCGTTTGCTAATAACTCTCTTACTTTTTTACCTCGAGTCGTTATAATAGTAATTATTACTATTTTATTAGTATACCTTATAGTACGTTACTAATATAAGAGAGAGGGTTCCCCGTCCTTAAAACTAGCTAATATCTAGCTAGGATTACGAAAGGAGGCCTTAATTACTTAAACGTATA